TATAAATAGAGGATCCTTTGGCTTCATGATTCCTTTCTCCCTCCTCATGCTAGCAACAGAATAGTGATCAGAGATATTACTTAGCTTTCATCACCCTGATTAAGAGATGCAGAGATTATTAGAGCCCTTGACCTTCCCTTACCTCAATTTTGGCCATAGAAAAGTAATTCAGAAATATTGCTTAGCCATTCTCATCTCTTTGAAAGAAATTAGAGAAATAAGCGTACCTTTTATCAGAGCCCAGAGAATCCAGAGAGACTTATAAGATCAGAGAACCAGAGAGAATTTATAACAGATTTAACAGAGAAACCCTACAGAAACCCTTACCACTCAGAAAACCCCATAAAACTCCTTACCTCCTCAACAGGTATTCTTAAGCAACAACAACTGTAGTATCAACACTAAGATAAATTTAGAAATAAGCCACACTCTTATTTTTCTTAGTGTAACTTTCCCGCAAGCTAGACAGGAGGGCAGTCTCACCCACACACCAATACTAATTCTACTATTTCATAGTCTTATTAGCTATTTTATCCCCTCCAAGCTCTTTACTCACTTGCTGAGCAGTTCCACAAGTGGTGTCCCAACAGTGGCAAATTTCCTCAGATAAATTTAGTCTTAAAAAGATACTACTACCTTTGCTAGTCATACTTGAACCTTTCTCAAATCTCACCTTAAATTATTAAGAACCCTTATAACAGATTAGAAGAAAATGTCTGAATACACCCCTCTCATCAATGTCGGCAACACTGCCTTTACCCAGCATCGAGAACCATCCGTAGCTTCTTCTGGAAGTTCCCTCATCCATCCTTTGGACACCAGATTAGATATGCCACAGCCCAGTCCTATTACCCCAGATAACCATCTTCGCTCTCATCATTCAGTAGCAGAATCCAACACTCATTTCCTCGAAAAAGAGCCCGAAATTCCTAAATACGCAGGACCAATTGATAGTCGAAGGGTAGTCAAGATTAAGCCTTTAGACAAGGAATTGTTTTTCGATGGAACGAACATGCCGATAGAAAAATTTATTAAGCGGTATGAACGTGCGGGAGAAGCGGATGGAGCTAGCGCTACGGATTTGGCGAAGCAGATCATTTCGTTTGTAAGAGGAGGCGATTTGAAGGATGAGGTCGAGGAGATGGAAGGATATGAGACGGTCGAGTGGGAGGAGTTGAAGAAACAATTGTTGGATCGGTTCGGAAAGTCTCTGCCCCTGGTGAAATATACGAAGCAAGACTTGAAGGATTTAGCCTTTACCGCTCCAAGAAAGGAGGCATTCGAACC